TAGGCGGGGGCGTTGCAGCAGGGTATGATGGCATGGGAAGCTTATCGATTGAGGCAGTAGCTCCACCAGCTCCTTCCCGTCCCGGGCAGCTGCACTCCACACACAACAACCCCGAACTACAACGACCACTCATCGATCGCCCATTGCATCGTCCACTCCTCATCGCAATGAAGCCCGTCACCAGAATTGGTTCTCTGGCTCTCCGCCGGGCCGCCGCAGCGCCTCTGCGTGCCTTAACGCCGGCCAATTGCATCATCGGCCGAGCTGCAGCTGTCAAGGCTGGCAAAGCTTCAGTGCGCGCTTTCCATGGCACCGCGAGCGCGCGCGGCATCATGCCCGAGAGCGAGAACCCTCCTCCCAAGCAGTCTGAAGACCACGAGAGCCCGACCGTGCCCACCGACATCCCCACCACCGAGTTCCACGAGCGCGCCGACGACTACCTGAACGAGCTGGTCGAGCGCTTGGAGGAGGCGCAGGAGAAGAACCCCGAAATCGAGGTCGAGTACTCGGTGCGTTGTACTATATCGAGAGGTGCGAGAGAAGATGCAATGCTAATCGGCGTTTCTGCAGGCCGGCGTTCTCCGAGTCGACTTCATCTCCAAGCAGCTCAGCTACGTGCTTAACAAGCAGCCGCCCAACAAGCAGATCTGGCTCAGCTCGCCCATCTCAGGTCCCAAGCGCTTCGACTGGGTTGTCCTGCAGGAGGGGCAGAACGCGAAGGAGGGCGGTGGCAGTGGGGACTGGATATACCTCCGCGACGGCACCAGTCTGACGGACATCATTCGCAAGGAGTTAGGAATCGACAACGAGGTGGACGACAACGTCCCGAGGTAGAGTGTGGGCGTGTGCTGTCACGTTTCCTAGCATAACACATAACGAGTTCCATAGTTCTTGAAGAAATAAAAATGTGCTGAATGCAGATCGTCCTTCACCAGTGGTATCCCAAACGCCGGTCCATGCAACGCCACAGATGCTCAACTATGCCCAGCCATGCCCAGCCAAGCCCAGCCATGCCTGCCTCCCTCGAATCTCCAGGCTTGTCTATGCGGTCTCTTGAATCCCCGGGCGTGTCTATGCGGCCACAGCGGTCGCCTCACCCGGCGCATCGTCCTTTTCCTTGGGCAGATCAGACTGTCCGGGTCAGCGAGGCACTCGACCCGCGATAGGGTCCACGCACCTGATCGAATATAATCCTAATCATCAGCGAGCAGCTTGGGCAGCGCGCGATGTCCTCGCCATCCCGCATGTCGTAAATCGAGATCTCAAAGCGGTCGCCGCAGGGACATGGGTGGTGGTAGATCTGCAGCGTCTCGTCGTAGAAGCAGTCTTCGATCTCGACTTCGTCGTACAGGTTGAGGTCTTCGTCGGCCATTTTGTGTGCGCGAGCGGGTGGTGAGGGGAAGCGTGCGTGGCGGAGTGATGTACAGGCGCAGGCGCAGGCGCAGAAAATGTGGGTGACGGATGGGCGAGTGGCGCGGGGCGTTGGGTGGGCTCTGGGGAGCCATTCGCCATTCACGGCCGGGCCTGGCTTCGGGAGTGCCTGGAGCTCCGCAACAGGGCAACATGGCAACCGCAACATCGCAATCGCAACGTCGCAGTCGCGGCATCGCAACACCACCACGCTCATTACGCAACACACGCATACGGCCCGCGCATAGACACCGCAGGCCATCCCGCAGGCCATCCCGCAGGCCACTCCGCAGGCCACTCCGCAGGCCAAGCCCACACACCACGCCCAATCGACCATCCATGACCTGCGATTCCTCGCTCTCACATCGCTCCGCTCGGTGACGCTCCCTCGGTGGCCATGGGCGACGTCGAGTCGCTCGCGCAGCTGCTGCGCCATCCCGAAGACCTCGACAAGATCCCCGCGCTCAAGGCCGAGTTCTCGCGCAAAAAGGCCGCCGTCGACGGGCAGCTGCGCCATGGCCTGCGCGAGCAGCTGGAGCTGACGCAGGCCGGCATGAACAGCATCTCCGAGGGGCAGCGCACCGTCAACCTGATCAAGGAGGAGATGATGAAGATTGACAAGCTGTGCGCCGAGGCCCAGAACATGATCCAGGACTTCCCCCACATCAACGTCGTCGCCCAGACCCACAAGAACTTCGAGAGCGTGGAGACGATGCGCAAGGACATCCAGAGCTTCGACGAGCGCCTGGCGCAGCTCGAGTACCTGCTCGACCAGGACGACGAGGCGCCCACCGAGCAGCCCAATCTGCTGCAGATCCACTACGGCCTGACGCAGCTGCGCGACATCCGCGACGTGGCCATGGACCAGATCAAGAGCACCGAGCATGGCTCCACCGAGCTCATCGACAACCTCACGCTCGAGAACGGCGCGACGGTGCAGGACCTCTTTGCGCGCCTGGACGACGTCATCGAGCGCTTCGACCAGCACATCGGTGAGGCCTGCATCAACCTGATCGAGCTGGTGCAGACGGGCAACGACGGTATGGTCGTGCGACTCGCCGTCATCGTCGAGGAAGAGGAGAAGACGGATGCCAAGGTCAAGGCACTGCAAGACGCCCAGCGCGAGTACAAGGACCTAGCATCCCGGTTCAAGTCCATCACCGCAGGACCCAAGGAGCTGCGCGGCTACAAGGACAAGTTCACCAAAGCTATCGAGTACGTCTGTGAAGCCAACATGGCCGAGGTCCGGGAGAAGTTCGACGAAGACCCCGACAAGGTGGACAAGTACTTCAAGTGGTACTTCAACAACCTCAACACCGTGAAGCTGGGCATGGTGAATCTGATGCCGAAGAAGTGGAAGATCATGCAAACATATACGAACATCTACCACAGACAGATGCACGACTTCCTTATGAGCCTCGCCGACGACGAAGGCCTTGGGCCGCAATACCTCCTCGCCGTCATCAACTGGGTGGATAGGTACTACGCTAAGATGAACAAGCTCGGCTTCCCTGGAGAATCACTGGAGCCTCATGTTATCGACAACCGCGGCCCAGAGCTTATCCGCACATACCGACAAGTCATCATCAACGCCGTAGACCAATTCATGGACCGCATCAACTCTGGCGACCGCAAGTCCTTCCTCGACCAAGACCGCAACGCCTACGAAGTCAACCCCGACGGCATTTTCCAGACGCGCTCCCTCGGCGATGTATGGACCATGCTCTCGCAAAACCTCTCCGTAGCCGCGAGCAGCGACCGCAACGACGTCGCCGAAGGCACCGTCGACTCCATGATCCGGGCACTCACCACGCGCCAACGCATCTGGACGCAGCTCATCGATGACGAAAAGGACAAATACATGGGCCCCACCCCCGCACAAGACGGCGACGGCGTAGCAGTCTTCCAAGAATGGCTCATCGCCATCGCCAACGACCAGATCATCTGCATCGACGACGCTGACGAAGCGAGCGGTCGCCCGAGTTTTGTCACGATTTTTGAGAGAGAAGCGAGTCCCCTGCTGTCTCCAACGTATCTGTCCGACCGCCTGGCTCCGCAACTCGATGAGCTGCGGAACGGATATATTGACATCTCATCACACTGCATACAGATCTTCTGCCAGCTCATCTTCTTAACTGATTTCCGCCCCATCCTCAGCAAGTTCTTTACGCAGGAGTGGTACCAGCGCACAGACATGGCGTCCATCATCATCACGTTCCGCGACTACCTCGCCGACTACGAAGAACAAGTTCACCGCTCCTTACGAGACTTGTTGATCGATTCGTTAGCGGATGAGCTGTTGGTGCAATATCTCGGCGCCGTGCGCAACAAAGGCGTCAAATTCCGGCGCAGCGACGCGTTCGCCGCCAAGCTACGCGACGACTTGGTAACAGCATTCGAGTTCTTCCGCACGTACGGGGACCAAGGTCGTGAAATAATGGGTAGGTGGCGCGCTGTGGAGTTTTTCCTCAGACTGCTAGAGACGGACAAGAGTCAGGTGCCGTTCGTGTATGAAGAGTTCAAGGCGACGTATAGAGAGGTGCACATCGGCTGGGTCGAGGCGGTGCTGAGGAGTAGGGATGATTTTGATAGGGCGATGTTGAATGCGGTGAAGAGTAAGGCGGCGGAGGTCACGGAGGATTTGGATGCACCGGCGGATCCTATCATGGGCAGAGTCAAGTAGGATGGCACTTGAGCAAGAACAAAACTGTCTTTCCACATATTTCCGTCCACAGTTGAAGTTCACGACATGGTAAGACCCCAACTTCTGACGGGCGCATCTGCAGGTACCTGCACTAGCGAGTACGCGTACGGTCGATCAAGCCTCCCCGCACCCGCCATCATTCTTACACCACACTCGCGATACCAACGTAGTCTATCGCATTTCTACACTGACCCTTGGCAGAATACGATGCCAACAGCACTTCCAGGCAGCAGAGTGCACAGCGCTACCGCTCACTCAAGATTTGCATGCGTCAGCTGCAAAACGCTCGAGATTCGCAATCTCAACACCCCGGATCTCCTTTCGGTCTCGAACCAGCCGAGCGGCGTCACCTTCCTCAAACATGACATGCGCGCAACCGTGCCACAATCAAAAGACATGAGCGAACCAAACAACCGCGTATCATCATCATCTTAACGTCCCGTTCAGCGCTGTCGGAATGTGACATCACGTGATATGGTTGCACATTCGGCAAGCGGCTGTTTCAGATCGGCTCATCAGATTGCTTCATCTCAGGGTCTTCCTTGCAGCAGCGAGAGCGTTTCGAAACAGCAGTCACATTGTTTGGCCCTTGGTTTGCACGTTCGACATTCTGATCAACGACCAAGCCTGTACCAACAAAGGAAGCAACCAACAATGACATCAATGGTCAACAATGCATGTGCTCCGACCCCTTTCTTGTTTGAAGTGGATGCTGCTTGCGGCTTGCGTACGCAGCGCGACGCTGCCGTCGTCACCGCCCCACGGTTCTTCGAGATGAGAGTCAGGGAAGAAGCGCGGGAAGCCACTCTCATATCCTAGAGGCGATCATGAAACAAATCTCCGTTATCGCCACAACCCTTGATCTCCCAACTTCAACCCTCCATCAATCCCTGCGCTGCCCAGAAAGCAGGTGGGTCAACTTATCGATGCAGCATAGGATCGATCAGGACGCGCAATTCATTTCGTGGCACATATATCAGGCGGAATAATCTGCATTTCAGTCTTTTCTTCATCATCGCAAGACGAACAGTAATTCTCAGTCTCTGAACTGTTAGCCACTCATTCAAACACTCACTACGGTCTTTACCTTTCATACTATCTCCATTCCACTTCAACCAACGATACCCTTTTCGTCGCTTTTAATCCACCACCAACAACAAGCAAAATGAAGTTCACCATCATCGCCGCTACTCTCGTTGCTGCCGTCGCTGCTCAGTACAGCGAGGAGGTCTGCTCCGGTGCCGTCACTGTCACCGTCACCGAGTACGTCTCCTCTTACCCCCACTCAACCACCCCATACTAACAACCCTCCAGGACTCTCTCCTACGGCATCCACACCCCCAGCGCCCCAGCCTCGCTCGCCGTCACTGCGCCCGCTCCCTACCCCACTGGCAGCGCCGGTGTCCCTCCCGTTGTCCCTACTGGCACTGCCCTGACTCCCCTCGCTTCTGAGGTTGCTTCTGGCACTGCTGCGCCTTCTGGCACCGGTGCGTACAGCGCCCCTGTCTCCGAGTTCACTGGTGCCGCTTCCAACCTTAAGGTCGGCGGTATGGTTGCTGGTGTTGGTGCTGTCGCTGCGCTGTTCTTGTAGATGTTGTATCGATGAGCTAGTTTGTTGTATTTAGGTGTGCGAGGAGGGAAGGGAGAGATAAATGATATACCCATCTGACACTGCTTCCCACTCATCTTTTCTCGGACATGCGCGCTTCAACCTGCATCCATATCAACACCTCTGCAGCACGAAAAATCACAAGTAAGCCTCTGTCGAGTCTTGATAGGGGAGTATCTTCATCAGCGTGATCGAGATGACGCCTTGCTGGTACACATAGGTGGATTCGGGTGACGCCAGCGTTGTTGCATGCTCCAGGGTTTTCAATCGCACGGAAACTTGACTATAACGTCTACACTCACGCAAGACAGGTGCAGTGCCTCTCTCATCTTGAAACGCACAGTCACAACCATGGTGGTGTGCTACTATCTGCATTACGATCATGCAATGAGATGAGGCGCGGCGCAACGCCCTGCCATGACACCACAATGGCGAATGAGGCGGCAAGTACGCATACATTATACCACCAACCTGCTCTGACCAGCAGTTCACCGTAGTCCGAATGTCTCTCGCATCATGGTCGTCGTTGAATGCGAGTACAAAAACATCGGCATGCCGCGGCCATCTCAGCATCGACCGCTAAGCGTGCCAGAAAGACAGTTTCGCCTCATTCGCGTACAGTCTCGCCGGACAGGCAATACTCATTCGTGCGAGATTCGCTATTTTTTTACCGAACTATTGAACAGAATATTGGGTCATATACGGCGCTCTTGTATGCATGGGGGAAAGACGATATAACCCACCAGATCAACGTGGCTAGCGAGGTCGATGGAGATATTCCGCTGGCAATTACAGTGACGCAGAAACTGGTCGAGACACTGAATCACATCTCCAATGTAGCAGTGGCTCGACATTTACATCAAGTCCATGCCGAAAATTTACGGATACGCTTCTGAGGAGACCCGGATACGAAACAGACTATCTGGTTGAGATGATTGAGTTGATTGATCTGTAGGGCTATATCGGGAATCGATCGGGACTATATAGTAGAAGGGTATAGCAGTGAAAGGGTGGGGAAGCAAACCAAACTAACCGAATGAGCTGGACAATTAGAGCAGCGGACCGCTGGCAAACACTATCCGCTACAACAAAGGAAAGCCCACCACGCTACGGCATGCTGCTGTGAAAGGATCAGCCCGCTAACTTGTTCTAGACTTTGAACGCGAGTTCGGTGATGTTGGGTTCTCTGTACAAGAGATCTTTTCGCAGCCTTAATGGAGTCGCCTCTGGATCCTGCAAGAGATATCAATGTCTCCCAAGACTATGCTAGCTTGCAGTAGCAGCGAGTTGCCGTGGAAGCTTCTGGTAGACTTTGCAAGATCCAGGAACAATGGATGCATTGCGAAATGCTCACCAGCATATCACCAAGGTATACAAAAAAGTACATTGGCTTTAGTCTTGCTGAGCTTGTCTTTCTTTCTAGGGACGCAGAACGCGGTAGGGACAAGAAAGACTATTCGGACGCTTCTTGGGTTGATCGGCCGCGGCAGATGTGAAATCGACCCTGAAGATCATGCTTGCCCTTGCGCTATCATCTCTACCGCGACAAAAGCCATGATAGAAGATATGAGGAACGATAAGTCAATTTCTTAGTTGCGGAAGAGGCGATGCGAAGCTATAGCGAGACCCATACCCCTTCTTTCGTACCAGAGTCGACATATCGCAATCCATCGAGGCGCAATATGCGAGGATTGTGAAGCAGAATTGTTGACCTGCCGCAATACCGCTTCTATCATATGCAAAAACACTGTCCTGTTATCCGAGAGTATCAGGAGCAGGAGTGAGACATGGACTTTCACTCAGAGCCGTATGCGACGGCAAGATCATACTTGAACACTTTACAACGCCCTGACGAATCCTGTTTGACACGATCTCCTGGTTCTTGTTGTAGTGCTTCTTTCATGGGATAGGAGCAGGAGCGATTACAAGACGACGGCCAGCGACTGTGGATGGCGCTTTGCTGAGAAGGAGATTCTGAACCCCCGTCCAACCCATTGTCAGAGAGCTTTCAAATACTACCTCCCGAAATAGACTTGTAGGGCATTTGTATAAGAGAATCCAAAGAGACATATTATCGACTGCAAACGCGCGCCCTTCCTTTCAAGATACTATGCTATCCATCGAATCCATGTATTACAGACTTGTTCTAAATATCTCGGTCTTGCACGGCAACAGATGCTGTGCAAAACCATACGTGTCTCCCAACTTTATCTCAGATCGTGCGCCGATAGTAAGTGTGTAACACTAATGATCAGATTTTGATCCAGGTAATAGTATTCCATGGACCCAAGATACTCTTCACTTTTTGCGTCACAGTACGAGACTGCGCTGCGATCGCTTCACGCGTCTCCCAGTCCTCCACTGATTCTACATCGCCATCGCTCTGCGCACACGACGGAAGAGGAACAACAACAGGCATGCGTAAGACTCTACCCGCATCAGCTACGCATTTCGATCGGCAGCTCCCATCCACGCATTTTGCTCAGCAACTTTCCGAGCAATTCTCGCGCGCTCAGTCTCTACAAAAGAGTCAACACGCTTGCGCGGTACAGCCTCTGCTCGTTTTGGTGAAATCTCGCCTTCGGCATGTTGAGGGGGATCCACCTCATCCTCATAATTGAGCCAACGCTCAAGGTGGTCCAAGTACGTTGCTTTCTGTTCAGCCATGCGTTGACGACTGGAAGCAGTGTAGGAGGGTGTGCGGCGGTAGTGCCAGAATGTGAAATACTTTCTTCGAAACGTGAGACGCATGTGTCTGGCTGAGGAATTTTTGCAAGACACCCTGGTGTTGTTGAGATATGTGGTATGAGACGACACTGTGAGGCATCAGTAGCTGAGAGAGCTGCCGTCTGTATATGAAAATGTTTGCATGTTACTGGTCATTGGGGGTTGAACAATGCAAAGCGACGGCCCAGTAGAACTTCATCCATTACAACATCTTCTATTAGGGTCTATGTACATCTGCATATCGGTCGTTGGTATAAGTCAGGGTCGAACATCCATCGATTACTGGATAGGCACGCCAGAAGCAGCAACAGTGGCGTAGAACAGCTTAGTCTGGCCAGTGATAACAATGCGTCCCTTACCAGCGAACTGGAAGTTAGCAGCAACGGTACCAGTGTAGATCTTGCCGATGAGCTTGCCAGAGGTGTTGTAGACCCAGACACCGTCACCAGCGCCAGTGTAGACACGGCCCTTGGAATCAGTGTGGACACCGTCAGGGATGAAAGACGGAACGTAAGCAAAGGTCTTGCGGTTCTCCCAGGTACCGTCCTTGGCGACATCGAAGGAGTAGATGGAGGCGGGAGAGGACAGGTTGCGGCCGTAAAAACCAAGGGCGATACCAGTGTCGGTCACGTAGGCCTTGTTGCCATCATGGGAGATTGTGATACCGTTGGGGAGAGTGAAGTCATCAGCGACGACGGTGATGGCGCCAGTCTTGAAGTTGTAACGGTACACCTGGTTTCGTAGACCAGGAACGGGGCGGAAGTCCTGGAGGTAGCCGTAGAGAGTGTCGGTGAAGTAGAGGTCACCGTTCCTGGGGCTGACAACCAGATCGTTGAGGGAGTTGAACTGGCGACCGAAGTAGTTGTTGATGAGAGCTAGCTTGGTTAGCTTGGGATGACATTGACTCGTGTGTGCAACATACTAGTCGTGTTGTACGGCGCCTCAGGATTCATAACGTACAACGCCGAGGGGACATTGTCACCTTGGCCTTCACCGGCGAAGATAATGTTGCCCTTGTAGTTGGTGCCACCGTTGGGGTTGATGACCTGGGGGTTGGTCGTGTTGACAATGGTCACAGGTGCAGCCTTGAGAGTACCGTTGCGGACCCTCTCTGCGTCAGCAAGAGAGATCTTCTGGATGATAGAAGACTTGTTCAGACCAGTGCCCGCAGCAGGAGCACCGGCGTTCTGCACAAAGAAGACCTCATCACGGACAGGGTACCTAGAGTCCGGTCAGAGGGAAGCTCCGTACGTGCTGCGATTGAATGGTCTCACCATGTGACAGCCTCGTGAAAGATGGGGTCAGACTCCGAGGAGGCAATCTGAGTCAAGGACGGGTTGGATCCAATGACATCGTAGAACTCCTCGTCGTAGATGTGGAAGGGCTTAGCCAGCAGAGACTCCTCTGTGACACCAGGCCAAACGAACAGCTGGATGCTAGTCAGATTCTCCTGTATCATAGAGATTTGACATAAGGTGTGCAGGTAACATACCGTGGAATCGTTGGCTACCGCGGGCGGCGGAACACTTGGCAACACGTTGAAGATCTTCTGGTCAACGATCTGGGCAGATGTAGGTACTCTCTGCGCCAAGGCACAACCAACAGCCGCGCTGACAGCGAAAAATGCACTTGTGGACGGCATCTTCGCACGAAAAAGCAACTGAAATCAGCGTGAATCGTCCGCAATAGGCCGCGTATAGCACCGGAGAAAAAGGATGCACACAGCTGAAGACGCGCGAATAAGGTTTCCAGATGGATCCTGAGGATATATACAGCCTCTGAGATTGCAGCGGCGATTGCCATGCGAGGGCCTCGCGTCATTTTCGACGAGGCTTGCAGCTCGCTCTGAGCCAAGGCTCGGAGCAGGCTTCAATGATGCTCGGCCATGGAAGGGCTAGACTCAACGGCGTTCGTACGCGGGAAAAGGCCCACAAAGCGCAGTGCGGGATGCGGACATAGACCGAGGGAACTGAAAGTTAATAAAAAGATGCTTGTTCATGACGCGACAACTCTTGATGAGATCCTTTCCAGGCTGTGAGTGCAACGCTGATGTCTCACAGGATCTTCGAACTGCTGTTTTGCAGACTGCAAGGAACATTTCGTCTCATACCATTAGGTTTTGGATGATCACTGGAGAGAAGCAGAGAAGGACTCGGGCTGTGCTCTTTGGAAGCACGTGCCAAGTTTGTTCATTGCGCTAGCGAACCCCACGGGAAATCCGCACATCCGCGCCCCAGTCCCCCGTGCTTCTTAGTGGCCGCCGGAATGTTGAAAGAATCGAGCGAGTCATGGAACACCACCTTCACGCCCTCAAGATCCGAGAACGACACATCCGCCCATCACGCCAGGATATGAGCCGTCTTGGCGCTGCGGTCAACGATCGGATCCGTTCGATTGGCTTCGTACCACGTTAGGCATTCAAAGCCGCGTAGTCGAATACGTCGTGGGTGCATGGCTGCATCGTGTCAAACCCGAGCAAGAGGATGGCTTTCCAACCCCTGAGAAGACTACTTCGAATTCTTCGAACTTCCGCGACGTGAATCGTGCCAGCAATGTCGAGACTCCAAGTTGCGCCGACATTATCGCCGTGAAGAGCCTCATGAAGGACTTGCGACACCCCAGAACGTCCATGGGTCGTCATTCATCGCTCAGTCTTTCTTGCGCCTGAAAGACCTCGTACAGACGGCTGGGTTACGAGCTTTACATAATCGCTCACTCGGACACCTCTGCAGCTCTCGGTACGACTGCCGACTTTGTTAATATTCAGGCACTATCCAAGGATCAGCCAGCATGCATGAACGGGGCCATATCGAGTTGGCCAATAACAGAATCTCCGTCTCGCGTCCCTGAGATTCATGTTGATAGAATTTGTCCGCTAAGCTGCCGAAGTGGCGTGTAGGTTGCATAGCATTGAAGTGCAGGGTGACGGACCGAATTTGCACAAAGATAGCCCACTGAAGCAATGTGGGGATTCTCCAGGGTCGCTCTTCACTCCATCTGTCGCCTGTGCCTTTTTCGGTATTCCTTTGTGCTACCATGGCCGACCTCACGGTCTTGAAGGTGATTGTGGTGGTCTTCCTCAGTGTCGCTATTTACAACTTCCTCGAACTCAACGTCCAGATCTTCACCACTTTCAAGCGACGGAAAGGGCTTTACTTCTGGAGCTTCACAATCGCAACATGGGGCATCCTCTTCAACTCGATCGGATATCTCCTCAAGCACCTTGAGGTGACGAAAGAAGGAAACGTCTACGCAACGATCATCTTGATAGGATGGTGCTCGATGATCTCCGGTCAATCGGTCGTTCTGTATTCTCGATTGCACATCGTGATGCACAACACAAAACGGTTGCGGGCCGTATTGATCATGATCATCACCAATGCCATCTGGCTCCACATACCGATCATTATCTTGGTCTACGGTTCCAACTCAAACAACCCTGGTCCTTTCGAGGGGCCCTACTCCGTCTACGAGAAGATTCAATTAACCGTATTCGTAGTCCAAGAGCTGATCATCTCCGGTCTCTATGTCTACGAGACTGTCAACCTCCTCAAACTTGAAAGGATCATTGGCAACAACGGGACCAGGATTGTGCTCCATCACCTCATCTATGTCAACATCCTTGTTATGCTGCTAGACTTCAGCATTGTCGGCCTCGAGTTCGCAAATCTTTATGAGATTCAAACCGCCTGGAAACCCCTTGTCTACAGCGTCAAGCTCAAACTCGAGTTCAGCATCCTCAACCGCCTTGTCGAGTTGACAAGGAGCGCTCGGAGCGGCGACTCTCGATCCTACAGCAACGCAGTGCAATCTGAAGGTCTGGCGCTGGGCACCATCAAGGCCAACAATACAACTCATCAGCGCTCGGTAGCGCGAGGTGCAGATCAGACAAGCAAATGGGAGGTGCAAGTTGGGAGCGGAAAGGGCAACACCAATGCGCTCCCTGCAACAGTCGTCAAGACCACCGAGGTCAAGATACAGAGTCACACCCGTCGAAGGAGCGATACAAGTCTGGCAGAGAGCAAGACAGGAATATTGCCAGAAGCGGCGGTGCATGCTGGCAACGAGGCAGAAAGAGCGAGTGCGTCATCGGTATCTTCGGAAATCGGCTACGGCAAATACGCCAATCCAGCCTAGCTGTAATGTAGTAACGCTGTTGTTTGTTTCCATTCCATTGTTTGAAGCTCGACACCCGATGTAACCATCTACGTCCACGCCTAAGGTTCTCTGCATCAGCCTCTACCACCAGGCTTTCTTTTCCAGCACCGACTTGTTCACTTCGTCTGGGAATTACTCATCTGCGGGAAGATTTTTCCCTGCACTCACATCGTCGTGGCCTTGCAGTTAACTATTAACACGCACAAGAAGCAGTTACTTTGCATTAATATCCTTCTGTTGATCCGCTGATGAAAGAGGCATCGCCTGAAACTGAAAGGTACGATCTTGACATCGGTAAGAGCCATGTAAGGTGAGACGGCTTCTTCTGCCATTTGCGTTTTAACACAGTATTGTGCAAGGCCATTTTTCGCAAAAAGTCTTTCTGACACATCAATCTTGGACGACGCAAGATGGCAGAAACAAGTGAGCCAGAAAGCTTGCTGTTGAAGCCACGGGTCATAGCGTCCTGGACTCTTCCGAGCAGGTCAATTTGCGGTAGATGATTCACAGTCAGGGTTGACTTCACAAGACTTGTATGGTGTAGGCTGATATAGCGTAGACATCTGAGCAGCCATTGCGCGGTTTTGCACCTGTGTATAATTATAAATCGCGCAAATTACTGCGTCTATGCACCTTCTTTAACGGGTTATCAACCATGTAGCGGTGTGAACCGCTGTAGAATACTGATAGCTACGGTAAACAATAACGTAGGACTATCGGGTCGATGGAATACTGCGCTGGATTGCTATCTAGCTAAGAGGAGACGGCTATATACCTGACTTGTAACACACTAGTCCAGGGTAGTGGTCAGGGGTATAGTTAGACACTGTACGGACCAACCGATACCGCAACAAATCATGTTAGATTATCAACAATGAAAAATTGCAGAATCCAATGTCGAAAAAATAGAGAGTCAAATGGAAGTGCAACATTCGAACATTAAATCTTTCTGTTAAAGGTGTTGTGACCAGAGCTAGTACCTTTATGAAAGCCACAAAGCAGAGGCCCAAACAAATTCATTACATCCCACCACAGCAAGCGATATTCCTACATATAGCTACCAGATACCTGCAGCGTCCTCACAAGGATCTTTGCAGCCATGGAGCCAAAGTTGTGTGTACGTTAGCTCTCCCCTGCTTCGACTCAGCCATAGCTAATCGTTTCGAGGACCGACGTAACAGGATACATAGGTGGATCTGTCTTTGATCGTTTGATCTCAATCAAACCAGAGTATGACTACGCGTTGCTGCTCAGGACTCCCTCAGATGTCTTTCGCGACGCTGTTGTTGACCAAAGTCAAGTAGAATAGAGTCATGATGTAGGACCTTGACTTGACATTATAGTGGAAGTACTAACGCTATCTTTCAAGGCTACTACTTTGTGAGCAGCGAAGAATTATCTCGACTCGATATCGCGCCCGCTGCTGGTCAAGCTCTGCCAAATAATTCCAAGTTCAGTCGCCAGAGCCAACAGAGATTACGCTAGACCAATTGGACAACATGCTTGGATATGTTTCATTGAAACATCTAGGGCGGTTGATGTCTGCATCGAACTCATGACAAACACCTGAAAGTGCTAAGGGAGTTCTTGTTCAAGCCTCAAGGATCGTCTTTCTTAAAATGCTTAGAAGACTTAGGTTTGAAGGGTCAAAGGTAAACCAGATCAAACCCAAAGAAATCTCCCCTCTCGGCAATCTCCACGGACAGTCATGCAAGCACTAAAGAGTCAACAGATCCCGCAGAGCATGGCGAACCCAGTATGGTGCTTTAGTAAGCTGTTGTTGTATCTTTGTTCTCCAGGCGTCACACATCGGTGATGACCCCAATATTGTATGCTATAATCTGGGCCCTCGCTTGGGGACATCTGCATCACCATCCGTGACTGTAGATTTCCTTTTGATTGTTGTCTTCTCCTCATGGATCGACGTCCGCTCTGAGGTGCGGCACCTTCCTTTACCCTCAAACCGCCACCTCTTCCTCAATGCTTGAGCGACACTTTTCGGTCTTCGATCACGAGTGAAAATCCCCTTCTTGTTTCCATCGGCGGGGAAAAAATTTTGGTTGGTCTGGAAGCCCGAGGAAGACCAAACCTACTCGCCAATGATGTTTTTGACACGGTCAAAGGCTCGGTGGTACAACTCATACACCTCTCTCTGGAAATCTTCACTCTAAGGCGTCAAAGCTGCCGAACGCAGACCCGCAATCTTATCCGCCCCATATTCTGTCATGGTGATAGGCTTGTCTAAGTACCTGGTTTGCCAGGTCATTAGGTCGGCCTCGAGCTCGGACTCTGCCAGCTTCAGATCGCCGCAAGATTCATACTAGTCGTAATAGCGATTCAGGCACAAAAGGTCAAACATGGAAGACATACGATCGTTCGTTACTGTTGCAAGCCTGAGGTGAATCCGAGGTTCAAGCCAACAGCGGCTCTCACGGTTTGGGGTCTCTCCTGCACTAACGCCCTGTCGCACCTCACCTCATGGTGGGAGGTTGCTGCCTTTTCCCACTAGCGTTGTTTACAGCCACTCACCTACATGTACTGTTCGTAGCTTCATACAATACAACTGCAGTACAATCCTCAACTTCTTCCCTTTGCGTACAGTTCACCAACTCCAACAGCGGCAGTCTCGTCGATGACCACGATTCCATGGCGGTCGGCGTAGTCTAAGACCTCTTCAGCGTAGGGGCAGTGGCTTGTTCGAAATGAGTTGGCACTGATCCAGTGCATGAGCTCAGTCGTACACCATGTTTGCTGGGTCGTAGCCTTTTCTTCGGATGGCGGCGTCTTCCTGCTTTCCGAACCGATGAAGTAGAAGGGCGTGTTGTTGATGAGGAACTGCGCGTTGCGTACTTCGACTGTTCGGACTCCTTTGCTGACATTGTAGGTATCGATGAATCGTACAAGGAGATTACGATGTTTCACAGATATGGCGCGCCAGGTTGCCAAAGATGAACGGAAGGAACTCTGATATAAGCTCGGCCATACATATACTTCTCGGCCGGCCATAATAGTTTCCGGCCACCCCACCACCACGCGTTACCTAGCCTTTGACGCCCTACACTACAGTACTAGGACTTTAGTCTGTTCGCGTTCAGCCCGTGCGCGACCCTACAGCTCAATCGCGTCAGGTAGTCTATAGCTTCAATCTATTACTGCACCACCCAAATGAGAGCTTTTGGCACCAAAATTTCACGCAATTGTAGGGCTGAACTATCTGTTACGATCCTGAAGGCTTGTACGCGCGGTTGGCGGTTTATTACCAATGATGCGCGACGGATTGGCGGAACACCTAGCCTCATAGCTAACAGGGCGTCCCACAAAATCTGTCGTGGTAAATCGTGAGTAATCAGTACGCGTGTGCGGAAGTATTGAAGGATTTAACTGAGGTTGTATTGAACTAAGCTGTGTGTTTAAATTGTGTGAGAACAGAAAGGTTTGACCATGAGACTGTTGTGTTACTATAGTTGTTTGACAAAGTATCATATCGGTCCGTTTATACTCAACCTTACTGTACTGATCTAACTGTACTGCGACAGTTATCCTTATGGCAGGTGAGGTACGACAGGCAGTAGCCTAAACCGTGACAAAATCCTGCAGAAGGTCTGAGCCAAGACCGTGGGACTCTACGACACTCACCATGTGACTCCCCACGATTCCCACGGAAGTCTCACAAATCTCACAAAGCGCCATTGGGACTATGAGAAACTGTGAGACATCATGGGACATTTCAAGTATATAGCAAGTAGGAAACACAACCCTTATGGTTCGTGTTCAGCCTCATCAATCAAGTTTGTCTTTGGATCTCAACCCTGCTCTTGAAACAGATAGTCTATTCTATACTCTTCATTGCAACCTCAGTCGCAAAGGTCTTTGACCATACGACAACCCAACCCATTTGATCATCTGCAACCTTGCTCATACTCGAGAACCACCAAAATAGCGCTTACGAGCTTTGCTTAAAGTACGACTTCAACACTATCAAAGTGCGGGCGCGATTATGCGGTATGTACTTCAGAAGTTGCAGCAAACCTTGGCTGTTGTGCTGTTCTTGTGACTTCCTTTGGCTTCCTTTTTCTTCTCCCACTCTTCCCTGCTCCCTCCCATAAAGCCTTCCTCTGGCTACTGTAGTTGTGCTCTCCTGGGAAGTTCCTTTTGGTATCTGGCAGGAAGCTCTCCTTCTTCATCTTGGTCTGGAGCAGAGAAGGCTAGCCACCTGACCAAGGCTACTGTTTTGGCCAGGTTGATGCTCTTTCCCCATTCTGGGAGTCTGTACCCAGTCCATTTCACAAGGTACTCTTTCTGGCATCCCCTGCCCTGTTGTTTCCAGCTTCCCAACGATGTCTTCAACGTGATACTGCTCTTCTGGTACACCATCTACTACTTCAGTTACAGCACCTAGCTGCCAATTGTCAGAAGTCTGCCCTGGCAATGGGTCAGATGGGTTTAGGCACAGCCTATCCACATAGAACCTTGGGAGAATTCCTTGGGGTGTGTCAAGTTCTACCAGCTGTGAGGAGATCCCTTAAGTTACTGTGAACTTCTAATTCTTCCAATCCGGTTTCTTGCATGGCCTCCTATACCTCTGTAACGGGGTTACTGACACGGATGTTCTGACCTATGGTTATATATCGGGACCCATACGGGCCACTACCGGGACCTTGGAGGGTAACCTCCAAGACCGAGAGTATATAGCCACCTCAAATCCCCAAGGCTGACCCCTTAAGGATTCGTCTATGTACTTAATACAATATACTCTTTCGTCCCATATCCAGTCCCCTGTCTACAGTGACCTCATACTTTTTACCTCCTCCTTATCTACGGCTTCTTGACCTTCTTCAACTTGGCAATATGCCCATCTCGATAAGCCTCACCCATGCCAGAACGGTGCGGCACCAGGAACGTATCAAACGTAATCTCATCGCTATGTTTGTAGTTGGCCACCTCATTTGTCAGCGGGCTACGGGTGCGAGTCGCAGAGACTGGTGGATGACACGAACGATATGAAGCGCGGTTGCTGTGACTACAACTGCTAGCCGCGCGACTATGCGCTCGCGCTCGAGCTTGAACGATAGGTCCGTTTTTTGGTGGTACGATTGACGAAGCGCTGCTGGGGCGTAGTGCGTAGTACTTGTGAAAGATCTGTCGATTGTGAGTCCGCTCGTTCTGTCTCTGGGTCACTATAATCACTGGAATGATACACACCTGCTTGTTTGGCCCAATGTACATGCTCGTGGGACTAAGATCCTTACGCGACTCCTCGAACAGAATCAGATCCTTCGGTATCCAGGTCTTGAAGTTGTGGTTCTTGTCGCCTCGTGCCAACGCGAGTTTGTCTTCGGAGGTCAGCGCAGAGGTATAGTAGCGTGCCATGGTACGTGGCTGCGTAGAGTGGTGCGTCCGCAGACTGAAGTTGCGAACCGGCGATTGTCGAGAGCGCTGCTTCTTTTTGGCTGGTTGTTCAGGCACTACAGCGTACTCGGTGTCAGCTTGCGTTAAGATTGTGGGCGAGCACTGTGCAGATTCAGTAGTTGGCGTCGCGCGGCGTACAGCATGAGAGCGGCGCAGTGCAAAATGAAGATCAGAAAGTTGATGTGGGCCTGATGTTAATATACTACCACTGATTAGGAATGGCAGCTCGGGGAGTTGTGGTGGAAGTGAAAGCGACTTTGGAGTAGGCGGTGGTCGCCCAGCGACCGAAGCTGCTGTTTGTGTTCGAGAAACACACATCTTTACAGAGAGCACCAAAATTACCAGCAACGTACTCTGAGACTGCAAGATACTTTTCGACGCTGCAGTTGCAATACGCGTGAGCCTACTTGCGAGAGTGACAGAATCTGGAGAAAAGGATATGTGAAGTATTCGACCTCTCTGTATAGTCACAATGTCACCACGTACACACTGTGCCACCAACGCCTGCGCACGAGGAGGCTGTTGCATTGTTGACCAAGTCAGCTCACCCGAAAAATTGACGACTTCAGTCGATGCACAATATCGATACATGCCCTCACGCGAGTCTCAATGTGCGAACCCTAAGTCCAGACTGTAGCTCTCCTCGTCGGTAGTTGTCTTGAGGTAATCGATGCTCTCCTCCACCGTGAGAGAATTCCACTTCCTGTCCCTTTGCTTGCTGCGCCAGGTGTATTACACCTTGCTGAAGGTGTACAAGACGATTTTTAGCACACAGATGGCGACCTGGACGCGGTTGCCGCGACGGTCTGCAGCCATTAGCAGGTCTGTCAAGGTCCGATACGGTGCGCAATACTTACACATAGGTCTATCGTCTTGCCGAAAGAGATGGTGCTTTGCACTTGACCTGCCATTTTTTTTTACAACGCAGCACTCACTGTCCGTGTGCGACTACACCATCCCAACTTGCATTGGATGTGGTGTAGGATAAGAGAGTGAGACTGTGACAGCTGCGTATCGCCCTCATTTCGAAACATCGTCCTGGATAAGTGCCAGGGCTATAACGCAGGGCAGAAACCAAAGTTGGACGAAGATGCCAGGGTATAATCTCATCGGATTTATGTGTCATGATGAGCATCTATAATGTCCCAATTAGTGTCTATTGCGGTATTGGTTCGTCCGTACAAGGTCCGACTGTACCCCTGGCAGACAAGTGTGACAGGTCACTGGCCTGAGGTCAGGTATATAGTCATCATCTCCCAGCTAGATAGCAATTCAGCGCAGTATTCCATCGATCCGATAGTCCTACGTTATCGTTTACCGTAGCTATCAGTATTCTACAGCGGCCCACACCGCAACAGTATCTCCACTTTCACGTGGTCGAAGTCGGTGGATAACTTACACTGATGGTAGTTCCCACCTGGGCTGGAATGCTCAAAAGGTTACTCTTGAATGTATCTGGTAGCCTGGCAGTCGAAGTAAACCATAGTGAGTTTCCTCAGGCGGAGCATGCGAGGCGAGATGGGCATCTTGTGAGGAGGGAGCCGGTCAAGGGTTATCGTCCGATTGTGAGGGTGCATCTTGTGACGGCGCAGAAGGTGTTGTTCGTTAAATCTGGGTTTACGAAGAGCATCGTGGGGCTGCAGAACGAGGAGAGCGATGAGATTGTGAAGTTGTTGTTTACGGTATGTGACCTCTCCCGGACACAAGTAGACCAGGTAAAAATTGACTTGTCGTAGCACATCTCGCAGAGCCAGGACATTCAGGTTCGTTGTCAAATGGAATTGTTGCGCTATGGGACAACAGGGTGATAGTGCATACAACCATCAGCGACTACGACACCAATGACGATGGGGAGGGTCTACTCCAAGGCTTTCGCATCACAGCAATTGCTGAGGCCCCTGTGGGTGTCCACGGTCCTAAGTCAGAGTGGGATTGAGTCTTAAGAGTAAACTTGTTAGAGCTACACTGTCTGGTCAACTCGTGAGCTGGCGATGGACGCGGGATTGACCACCGATCTTCAGCCTAATGTTATCCATGACCCTCAACCTGATGTGCTGTTGTCTTCTTTGGTGCTGGCGAAGTTGAGCTTCGTGGAGTCGCGCAGCCCGAGTATTTCTTCGGGTACTTCATAGATGTCGGGCAATTTCGGTACAACCAAGCTTGGTTTTCCTTCAATGGGAAACCCGGCCCATGCCCACATTGCATATATGGACTGGGAAAGTTTATCGTCTCGACTGTCATATTGGAGTGGAATGTGTACACGGAGTTGATGTTGCCAGCTGCGATTTCTGCCTCGAGCTCTGCGGCCTCTTTCCCGACGAGCTCGTAATAGTCTCGGAGATCGTCATGATGCAGACTTTGTTGTCGGTCATTTCCTGTTTCGTCACACAAGGTCATTTTTGACGTGAATTCTTGCAGTTGGCGTGTTCTGCCGGAGATATCCTCAGATTTTGACTCATCCTTGGGATCTGTAAGCTGCGAGGACTCTGACTCAGCTGCCTTATGTTCTGAATTACGCGAAACCTCATCATCTGCTCCTGCGTACAGATGCAAGACTTCTCGCCTTGTTTTGAGTCTGTATGTCAACTGACCGGTCAATGTGCCCATGATGGTGGCAAAGTCAACAACGACATTTTTGGTATCTCTGACGGCGAGCTCCTTTCCAAGGCTTTCCAGATACTGACCGGTGGGATTCACGAAACATTTTAAATCATCGAAATTAGAGGCCTCCAAGAGGCGCTCTGAAAATAAGCTTTCCGCAGTTTTCCAAGGATCATTTACTTCTTCGAGCAGAATCGATTGCAAAATGTGCGTCATTCTAAAGACTCGTCGACATCTTGGGTTCGCGTATGGGAGAATCTAGTCTGGGTCTGAACTGTCTCATGTAGGAGCGTCAATAGATGTGCACCGGCAGAATGCAACGATCGTATAATTTCCAAGTCTCCTGAGGACTGGCCAACATCCTGAATTCCCGCTCTGCATGAAGAAGCCTGAGTCTGGTATGTTTCTTCAGAACCCGTTAACAGTTGTAGATCCGCAAGATGGGTGTCCAAAAGCATCTGAGTGAGTCGATCAATAACCTGATTTTCTTTTCCGGACGATCCAGCCAGAGCATGGGGACCATACGACGATCGCACGATCTTGTCGACAGCCTGATTCTGCCTCTTGGATGATTCGGCCTCGGCCTGAGCCTGAACTGTTTCTTGTAGACGCACCAACTGGTGCATATCAGCAGAATAGGGGCTGAACAATGACCGTGTGACTTCTGACGTTTCGGAGGGTTTACTGACATCCTTGGTATCCTCTCTAGATGAGGGGACCTGAGTCTGATCCTTTTTCCGTGGGTGCAGAAATGGTTGTAGATCCCCAAGATGTGCATCGACCAACGATTGTATGAGTTGAGGATGGGCACCACACGATGATCGCGTGATCTTGTCGACGATCTGTTTGTGCTTCTCGGTTAACTCAAGCTGTGCCTCGTCTATTTCCTGCGAATGTGCCGGCAGTTCCAACTGAGTTGTGTCGCCCAGCATGGTTGACTGCGTTTTCAGATTTGTTGTAAGTATCTCGACTCCGTAACCTCGTTCTGAAGATTAAGGCGTTATTACGCGTGGGTGCGTAGCGATAGGTAGAATGTGGCGACAAGTGATGCTGATAGCTAGCGAACGCAATGCCTGCAGCAGAGAGGTTGAAAGCCGAGTCGCGGTAAATGTACCGATTTGAAGTTAGCACATGAGTGGCAGCGGCTACGTTCGCGCTGCCACTGTACTTGACAAGCCAGAGCACCTGCCCGTCAACCTCGGAACGGTCAACGTGCACTTACCTCGTTCTTTAGTGGATGAGGCTCATCTGCAGTCGTTGAAGGCAATTTAACAGCAACAATCACATCTTTTTGAACTGCACGGAGAGCAAAGGCGCAAACCACTGGCCGCCTTCTCTGAGGCTATTGAGCACTAGTCATCGACTGTGTCCAGCTGTGACGTTGTACCACTAGCAATGACTCAATCGCCAAAGTCACGCTCCTCGCACACTGCTGATATTTGACACTTGCGACAAGGTGGGATCAAGTAACACTCGATCGATGTTCTCTTGTTCTAAAAGCATGAGATCGAGAAGAGCGTCCCCAACGATGTGCAAGTGTTGCTGTCGAACTATAGGCAACGAGATGAGGTGTGCTGTAAACAGATCCCTAAAATTAGACTCGTACCGCGGCTAATGAGTTGTACAAGAATCATGCTGAAAGTGTATGTGTTGTTGGGGTATCATCGTTCAGGAGGACGGACAAATACTGCCGAGGCTGCTTCATCGGTAGCAATCGCCGACATTGACGCGTGCCTTCCGGAAATTCAATCTCGTCGGCACGGGAGGGAACCGTTGGAACCTATTTGCGCCAGCAAAACCACGACCCAACATCGTCCTAGAATCTCCTTTCCGCGTAATCGTCTATCTGTACTTGTGCCCCTGACTCTTCTTTCGCATGGACTTCTCATCGCCGGACACCGTGGGCGCGCAGACTGCGCAGCTTGGATCTCTCAAAGCCCAAAGAAACATGCCTTTGAGCCTGGCGCCCGAAGGTACCCAGAAATTGTATACGAGCGTAGATCCACGTTTCGTCCTGGATGTCTTGCAGCCTGTTCCTGTTTCAACTCTCTCTCCCAGATCCTGGTGTTGAACAGGGTTGAGCGCAGCAAAGGTAAGGATGGGAGGCCTATCTCGAGCCGCAACAGCTGCGTACATTTCCACACGCTCAACACCTGAGCGACCTTGAAGCTAGGTATGTCCGATACTTGTCTTGACAAATTCTACAAGAGCCGAGGAACAAGTGGCGGAATGTAGAAGAACTGTACCAAGGTCTCGCCAGCGACGAGCTGGTGTTCCTGCAAGCTTGTATCCACAATCGACGATTCAGGCTAAGCAGGGCTCCATGCATTCTCGGGGTGGATCCACAGAGCCTCAACGGAACACTGACCGAAATCGACTTGGATTCCATAGATTTGCTTGCCGGACGCCGTGCCTGCATTTGACTCGATGTTTTACGCGCGGTGATTCGCAGTACCGGTTTCCACCACGGACCGGCAGATTGACATTCCTCAGGTCGAGACATGTTTACAGGTCCACATCGCGGATGCGCTGGAAAGAGGCAGAGATTTTTGGTATGAGCGTCTTACCATCTGGAGATATATAAGTCGCCTTGGACCCTGCGTATGCAAATCATCGCTGCACCAAGCCTGCCAATCAATCTACATCCGTTACATCATCAATATGCGCGGCCTCACTCTTCTCGCCAAAGCCACCTGCGCTCTGTTCGCAACAAACACTTTTGCTGCACCGACTGCATGCCCTGCTCCTGCATACACCACTGTCAACACTACCTCGACCTCCTCAATGGCGCCCGCTTTGTCCACGGTGTACCAGTTCCCAGCTGGCTCTGGCGCATGGGTTGAGAACATTGCTGAACGCTCCAATGGCCAACTCCTTGTCACCCGCATGTTCACTCCTGAACTGTGGCTCATCGACCCTTCGACTGGTTCCGCTGAGTTGGTCTACAGCTTCCCCGATGCTAACTCAGTGACTGGCATTACACCCACTGGCAACGACGATGAGTTCGCTGTTGCTGTTGGAAACGTTGATGCCGCCACATTCACACCTGAGGCTGGCAGCTGGAGCACCTGGAAGGTCAACCTCTCCGGATCAAACGCCACTACCACTCTCATCACCAAGCTCCCTGAGGCCAAGTTCCTGAACGGCATGGGTTCTTTCGACGCTGGAGAGTCGACGGGTCTCCTTATCACTGACTCGGTTGTTGGTGGTATCTGGGCTGTTGATCTTACGACTGGTGCCAACAGCCTCGCACTGCAAGACGACACCATGCTTGCACCCGCTGGTGCCACCTTCGCCGTTGGTATCGATGGCTTCCGCGTCAAGGGCGACTACCTTTACTACACCGTCTTCGCCGGCGGTGTCCTTCGCCGCATCAACGTTGAGTACCCATCCGCGGCCAACCTCACTGCCGGCACTGCTATTCTGAAGCAGATCGCCGTTGAGGAGCTTGCCAACACAGGTGGTTCTTTCGATGACTTCGATGTTGCAGCTGATGGTACCGTCTACGTCACCACCAACCCTGAGAACACCGTCGTCAAGGTCGCCGCTGCTGGTGGTGAGCCTACCCTCGTTGCTGGCAACGCTGGATCTCTTAGTCTTGCTGGCGCATCGTCCGCCCTTCTTTCTAAGGTCGCTGCCAACGTCTTGTACGTCACTACATCCGGTGGTGTTGCTGCGCCAGTCAATGGCACTTTGTCCGAGGCTGGCAAGATCATGAAGATCGTGTTGTAAGCGACGAGAAGATCGAGGATCAGTCGAACAATCAGCGAATCAAATCGAAATAAAAATAAATATTTTGCTTGAAAGCCACCAGCCATTTCCACCTTGCCTGCAAACCAAACCTTGAACGCTGAACCACCAAGGGGTATATGAGAGAACGCCGGTAAACAAGGACACCAAGCAGGCGCCACCAGAAACTCCAGGTGATGCAGCAGCTTGACAAAACCACCAAAGCCAACACGACTACCCACATGCGACACCTCCGTCAGAATCCAAGAGGGCTTGTTCGTTCTCGCAAGCTCGAAGCCACACACCCATCCTCAGCCACCCGAACGGGCCGCGCATCATCGTGCCTAGTCTTTCTCGTACCCCGCCCCTTGGAACTCAGCACGCGCTTCAGTGCTCTCGCAACCTGCCAGCCATGACCAACTTTCTTTTCACGCCCTGCATCGCTACTGATTCTGCGCTGGTCGAGAAATGTTTCGAAAGTGTGCGTGCGGTCGCAACCCACGGTCTTCCCATCGATAGGCGATATTGTTTGCGCGATCTTGGTGCCGCGGTTTTTGTCTTTGATATCCGTGTTTATCTTCTCGAGATCGACAGGGGCGCCAGTCTTTGCGCGTAGGTAGTCGATGAACATGGGTGAGAGTTGGGTTTGGTCGTGTGAGGTGCGGCGCTCTTTATCGTCAAGAGCCTTTTCGTCAAGGAATGGGTTTGTAGCAGGAAGTTTGTCATCATAGTCGCGGTATGGGTTGTGCGAGCTGCGCTGGCTGCGTTGGCTGGTATGTGTTTGCGTCATGCTGGGCAAACGAGTGCTGGCTGTGGGATAACGTTCATCGTGAAGTTTGCATGTGCGAGGATTACACCCACTTTAAACGCGTTACCATCCATTCCACCTGCTGGCACTTGGCGATAGGACGCCTCAAAAAGGATCAGTCGCGATGCAGATCTAGCAAGCGCGACTTGTCTTTTTGCAGATGGAGCTGGCTTGTATGGGGAAGGTGTAGGATCTGGGGCTGGTAGGAACCACATGGTGGGCTTGCCACTTGGGGAATGGTGACAGCTTGGGAGAAAACCGGTCAAAGGAGAACACCACTCACGGACTTTGCTCCACCCTCTTGTCAGCCTCTTGATTGCATCGACAACACTATCGAAATCGCTTGTGTAAAGCAGCGGCAGCACCGTGAAGTTCCTGAGTACCGCCTGAACGCCTTGCGCATAGCTCGCTCATATCGCCCTGTTCGGTATACAGCTGGCACGCAGGCCAGGATCTCTACCAGTGCATTGGACTCATCCCAAGCCATATGCTGTTACCAAAATGGCTAACCTCCCTCCCTGCGGGTCGAACAACCCCAGCGCCGGACAAAACCACTGATACTTCCACCTTGAACGTTTCTTACTTCCGCCACACCTTAGTAATTGCTATGCACTGGTAGCGAGAGTCTGCCACGGTTATTTCTACACGTGTATGCACTATTGCAGCGAATAATTACCGCCGTATTGACGTCTTCCGCGCCCGCTCCGTAAAGTGCATTGTCTTGCTTCGAAATATGCCCCTTCCTCTGCAGCAGCACCACGACAATCTTACTGCTTTTTAAAGATACAGACAAGTTCCAGTAAAGCTCAATAACATTGTAGCACTATGCAGAAATCGCTAGAAGCGTTGTGGCTGCAGTCCCGCAAAGTTCTACACAATCTCGACATGCAATCTGGTATCTCAAAGTCGAACGCTGTTGATACTGTCTAGCGCAAAACAGGCTCATGTGCCACGCGGAGTGCTTACATCGTCAGAGAACCTGCCCTTGTTACATAACGCCGCCTGCGGTTGTGGCTACGTATGGTCTTATGCCGGCGTGGAAGCGTTCAGCTAGCACCAAGGGCATGCAACTCAACTGCAGTACCAAAAACGTCGTTGCTCTGCAGGCAAGAGCATCACACAACAACCCGCGAGCGCGTGCTTGATCCCCACACAACGTCTGCAATGTTAGGGTCATTGTGCCAGGGCGCAGATCGCGTATTTGCCCTAAGCGTTAGTAGCTCTCATGTTGCAGAAAAAACGGGCTATAAGGATTCTGTGCTTCGAGGCAACAGCACCCCCGGAACAATGCAAGTAATTACTAAAACCTGAATGGAATACTCAGCCCAGGTGTAGAGAGTATATTAATAATTTTGAGCCATTGATAGTGTTGTGGTGCTGAGTTATAAGCTGTTGCTCGTGATTTTGGCGGTCGCTTATCCGCCGCTTTTTCTGCAACATGAGAGGTTAATTTAGTTAGCAATCCCAAGGAACACTATGTAGCTTAAGCTTGATGTATGTATCATTGCAACAACCGTTCCTGCGGCCTATGTTCGCGTCTTTGATGTTGTATTTGAAACTTTGGGTACACGCTACTACAAACGACCGCATGCCCCTGCGCACACCTCTATCGCAGTCTAAGCAGAGCCACGCGCCCAGATGGACACCCAAGACAGACCATGTCCTTGCATACTGCCGAGTAGTATGCCCGATACTCGAACGGCAGCCACAGAAAGCGCTGCGTATTACGCAACACCCAGTGGTCCTCTACTGAGAGCTGCAAAAATTGCTCTTCCTGCTCAACGTGTGGTGTCAGATTTAGAGATGCAGGCAGGGAAATGTCTCCTTCGTTGGTATGCAGGGCCTGACCACCAGGCGAGAAAGCGAGGTGATATATGTACGGCGATGAGCTGTCAAGCACACTGCGACACATGCCTGTTGCCGTCTCCCACACTCGCACTGTCTTGTCGTAGGATGCTGAGGCGACCAGCTGTCCGTCTGGCGAGAACACCACCGCCGTGACAGTGTCTGAATGGCCCTTCAGCTCGCTGCGACACGTGCCTGTTGCCGTCTCCCACACTCGCACTGTCTTGTCGCTAGATGCTGAGGCGACCAGCTGTCCGTCTGGCGAGAACACCACCGCCGTGACCCAGTCTGAATGGCCCTTCAGCTCGCTGCGACACGTGCCTGTTGCCGTCTCCCACACTCGCACTGTCTTGTC